TATATATATAATTGTATGTGTATATATATATATATATATGAGTGTGTGTGTGTGTGTGTGTGTGTACCTATATAATTATAATGTTGGTTGGAAACTCCTAGGTCTAACTCATATTATCTCAGTGTTAGATTCTTGATTTTCTGACTCCTTTGGGCACACAACAAAATATTAATTTTTAAAAAGTAGATACATAAAACAAGTTCCTAAAACTGTCACTTATAAAGCTATTCTTGGAAAGAATAAAGAAAATAAATTAATTCACTCTTTTAGCCAGTATTATGACATACTAACCTCTGACCCATCAGATAGAAATTTAAAATTCTGGATTTAGGGCTAGCTTCCTTGAAACATAACATTATAACATTAATTTCTACTTCATGCAGTTTTCCCAAGAGAGACAAAAGGATGTTTTACCAAAAATAACTGCTATTCTATAACACCATATTTTAAAAAAATATATGTCACCAACAGGTAGGACAGATTCAAACTCATATTGTGTACATCTGGGAAATTTTGATAGAGAAGAAGGCTAACATCTGATATACACTGATAGGATTACGCTTGTTCACTAACACCCATTTTAATGTTTATTTCTAAATAGCTATTATGTTCATATTCTATGAATATGAATATAATAAATTGCCAATGGCATTCTTTACAAGACTTCTAGAAATATATTTTATGCTGCTTATTCTATTTAATAGCTTAGCTCAATTGCATTTTATTTAACTTATATGCTTATCTTTTATAATAATTATTACAATATTTTTATATTTCCTCAGCATAGTTAACAAAAAGGTAATTAATAGTTATTTTTTATAATAATTACTTTATTGTATTTCTACATATTTTTTCAAATGTGCTAAAGGCATATGTGATAGCACTCTTAAAATATGGTTTGTTGTCACATCATTTTGGACATGTCACAGATATTCTGTTCCTCAAGAACCTAATAATTATGTTATATCAAGCCTTTAATGCATATAATAAAAGCCAGCAAATGATATAGTTTATTTATAGAAGATGAAGGCAGAAAACTCAGCATCTAGCTTTTTGTGCTGATTATTTACCTGTGGTCCTAAGGGCACCATTCCTCTTGGAGGAGTCATTCTCTGCATTGGCCCACCCATATTTGGATGTCCTTTAAAAAAAAAAAAAATGTATGAAGATACTAGCAAAGTAATGAGCATGAGTGCTAAACCAGGAGCCAGTAGCCTCCTCTCTGCTTGACATTAAATCTTACTTAGTAAGGGACTGGGTTATTGACATCATCTCATCTTGGCTTCCATGGCTACTTTTTTGCCTCTTACTGCTACTTGCCTACACTCTGCATTCACTGAGATTAAATTCTTCTTCCTAGTCTGTACTGAAATACATCTCTCATATGATTTGCTCCTTTTACCTTGGAACAGTGTATTAGAGCCATACCTATCTGTGGTACCTAAACATCTCTGTTGGAAGGACCGAATTATTGATTTGTTAAAATAATCAAGCTACTGTTGCTTAGCATTTTCTTTCCTCCTGCTCATCTTTCAGATGGACTAACCTATCTGAAAAAGGCAGAAGATATCTTATGTGATGTAATCATTTAAATTTCCATTTGTTAGAAGTTATATAAAAGGTTTTAGAAGTTATTAGTTACAATATGGATTTTGGATATTTAATTACTATTTCTTTTATTATTACTACCCTCACTATCATGCATAATTGTGAGAGTAAGCTGAAAATACAAGTCATTTGGCCATGTTACCTGCAAAAATGCAACTGGGATAATTATAAAACATATATACAAATAAGATTGTCCTTAAAAAATAAAGGATTTCCTTTGAGATTCTGCATGTCAGTTTCACTTTTTTACTTTAAAGTAATCACCTTGTTGTCGAGTTGGGTCCATTCCACTTGGAAGTAATGGCTGACTTCCTGGGACACCACCAAGTGCCTAGCATATTTTGTAAAAGAAAACAAAAAGAAATGTTGTAAATAATTATAAAATACACACTTTAACAATTCTCTTTTTAAATTCCTATAATTACAGAATACATTTGAGTATTTTGCAAGATTTCTTATATTTCACATTAATTTATAAATTTTATAGCCCTATATCCCTATATAAGTTCTTAGTTCTAAAAAGATTCTACCTTGCCCAATTTTGTGGTAAATAAAGTAAGTACTTCTTGGGAACAAATATCTAGGCAAAAATTGCCCTATTTCTTCCTGAGAAGTATTATGCCTTTCCCCAAAATTAATTTACTAACGGTACGAAAATAACTGATTTCGCTTCTTGAATGTAATCTCTCTACATTCTACAGATTATTTTACTCATTTGAAATTATAATAGCAGCAGGACTAAAATACCAAGGGGCCAATGAATTTTTGGGGGGGTACATTTTCCCTAAGAAACTATTTAGAAAAATAATACTCTATAGTTAAGTTCAAACAATTTGGCCGAATGGAAAAAAGAAAACTAGAACTGAAAAAGGTGGAGAGATTAACAGACAGCGTTTATTTTATGAAAGGTGTGCTACTGGATATATACTGAATCAAAAGTTTCTAACAGCTGTCTGAGCAGCACTTAGTGCTGGGCCAAACCGTACATGATTCAAATTTTCTGATCCTATGAAGTATACGTGTATTCATTCATAGGTACACGTAAGCCTGATAATTGGCAAGAATTTCTATAAACGTCCACTAATTTAACCTACAGCAGAATAAATCTTGTCTAATTAGTTAAAAATTTCAAAAGAAATTCAACATCAAAAAAAATAAATATCTGATCAGAACTGTTTTCTTAATTGTTATCACTTGGGATACAGTAGAGAGCTGCCATTTCTTAAGCCATTTTTGAAATTCTTTCAATTTTATTTTCTTACAAGTGTACCGAATATATATGCTACTATATGCCCTGTTCTCTGCTTACCTTACTAGCCTAATTTCTTGCCACTACCACACTTGCTAACTTCCAGCCATAGAAAACTTCCTTCAGTTTTTTTCAATTCATGCATTTAATCAATAATACCTAAATGCCAACCATTAAAAACAAAACAAAAGTAAACTAAAACGAAACAATCTCTCTTCTCAAGAAGCTCAATAAAGGGTGCCCCTTGCTGACATATTTCAGATCTCAGTTTAGGGATCACTTCCTAACAAAATTCTTCCATTTAACCCCATTCTGGTATAAGTTCTCCATTTGCTTTAAGATAACGTATATGTAATTTTTTAATTTTCAAATTTACAGAAACAGTACACAGGATTCCCATATATTCTGACACCAATTGCCCAACTGTTAACATTTCCCCACATCTGCCCCATTACCCTTTCTCTTTCTCTCTATATACTTGTTATCCTCACTCTTTTTCAGAACTGTGTGAGAGCAAGCTACAGACATTATGCCTCATCACCTCTAAGTACTGCTGAGTATAGTTCTCTAAACAAGGACATTCCTGTACATAACCATAACACAACTTTCCAAGACAGGAAATCCACATTGATATAACACTACCATCCAAGCCACAGATCTCAATCAAATTTTGCCATTTGTCTCAGCAATGTTCCTTTTTACTTTCTGTGGCCAGGATCTCATGGACCACATGTTGCATTTAACTGTAATATTTCTTCACCCTCTCCCAAGCAAGAATTATTCCTTAGTCTCTGTCGTGTTAACAGTTCTAGAGAATGGATCTTAAATTCTATGGGATGATCTTCTGATGCCTCTTCATGCTCCAGACTTTGGTCCTATTTTCTTAAAAGGAATACTGCAGCAATGATGCTGTGCTCTTCTCAGTGAAACTCATCAGAGGCACATCATGCTTACTCATCCCATTACTGGGATGTTAACCTTTCTCATCTAATCTTGTCAGTGTCTCCCATGTTTGTACACCATAAGGTCATTACTTTTACTCTTTGTAATTGATTAATTTCAGTGTTAGAGCTATTCCAAGATTGTCAGCATCCCATTCATCATCAATAGTTTATCAACCCACCAGCATCCACTGACAACTCCTAAGTACTAGGATAGTTGCCAAATGGAGATATTCTATATCTATCATTCTTTCTATGCTGTTTAATTGGCATATACTGTAAGGAACAGCTCTTTCTTTTCTTTCTTTCTCTTTCTTTCTGTCTTTCTTTCTTTTCTTTTTCTTCCTATTTTACTCAATGGTTGTAATCTATTACTCTCATCACTTATTTTAATATTCAAGATTTGCCCAGTGTTCAAATATTCAAGATGGCTCTGGTGATCTTTTGACACAACCTCATCATATTTTGAGCATTTTCTTCCTGGCACAAGATGGTTCAAATTCATCTCATATTTTTTCTAGCCTAGCTCTGAAATCAGACCTTACTTCAAAGGGCCCAGGGCCCTGATTCCTTCTAGTGGAGGACAACATGTAGACATCAAGATCTGAGATCTCAGAGTGCTCGTTGTAACTTTGGTACATTGCCTTTTGGCTCTGCCAGTAGATGCTGCACTCAAAAATCTATGTGTGTATGTACACACATTTGTATGCACACATATATACATCTCTAACTCCATATCTGTGTGTATGTGGTACACACATACCATAAATTCATATTCTCCAACACCAAGTCAACAGCTCCAATTCCAATGTAAAACCTCAGGATTATATTTAATCTTCTTCGTTTTTATGTTCAAATGTTTTCTCTAACAGTGGGAAACCAGGCTTTCATTGTCTTCAATATCTTTTTTTTTTTTTTTTTTTTGCTGAAAGTATTTATTTGCTCAGTATAACAGATCTCCCAACTATAACAACCATTTCATTTTTTTGTCACCTCTGGGCCACTCCTTACTTCCTCCCTGAATGTCTTAGCATACAGGGGAGGTAAGGGCTCGTTATATGCGTAAATTTGTTTTTAATGTTTATTTGTTTTTGAGAGAGTGAGAGACAGGGACAGAGAGAGACAGGGAGAGAGAGAATTCCAAGTAGGCTCCGCTCTGGCAGCTCAAAGCCTGATGTGAGTTTCAAACCCACAAACCATGAGATCATGACCTGAGCTGAAATCAAGAATTGGACATTTAACTGACTGAGCCATCCAGGTGCCACTTATGTGCCTTTATAGGATTTTATATTTTACTTTCATAGAACTTAAATACAATCACGGCTCATTTTTCTTTCTGTATCTCCAAAAGACTGTAAACTCTGAGGAAGTGTAGAACCTATCTGTGCCTTCTGGTTCAGAGAAGTATTTACTGAAGGACTAAAATAAATAAAGTTTAGATTGGGCAATTTTAGGAATCATCAGTGATAAAATCCTAAGAATGAAACTAATTTCAAAGAGAAGAAAAAAGATCAACAATATAATTCTTTAAAATTACTAAGGAGAGGGAGGCCTGGATGGCTCAATTGGTTAAGCATCCCACTTCAACTCAGGTCATGATCTCATGGCTGATAAATTCAAGCCCCGCATTAGGCTCTGTGCTGACAGCTCAGGGCCTGGAACCTGCTTCAGATTCTGTGTCTCCCTCTCTCTCTGCCCCTCCCCCATTCACACTCTGTCTCTCTGTCTCTCCCTCTCTCTCTCTCAAAAATAAACATTTAAAAAAATTAAAAAAAAATACCAAGGAGAGATAGGAAAGAAAACTGAAACTGAATAGGTATGAAATTAGAAAGCTGACTAAGACCAAAATTCCAGAATGCACAAGGTAAGTTTTAAAAAGGCAGAAGTAGTCAACACTGTCAAAAGTTATGTAAAAAATGAATTTGGAACACTGAAAATATGTGACTAATTGGCATTCTCTTCAATTGCTTTTTTTTAGGTCCCCAAATGGTTATACTCTGGACTTTGATTTCTGAATTTCTAAATCTCATTAAAGGCATCATGTTTTAGCCCTGGAAACCATTTTCTTCAAAATTTTACTTTTTGTTGTTTATCTTAGAATATCAGAATAGTTGACAAGTCTTTTAGTTTCTATTCATCACTTAAAAATACAGATAATCTCGATCAATATCAAGTTGTCTTTCAAAATGAGTGTCCTTTTCCTAAATTTAACTCTTTAGTCATCAGTGTTTGTCTTTTGTTAAGTCAGATTTCTAATTTTTAAAAAATTTTTATCAGTCCTGGGATTACCAGATGATGGTTTTGGGTATAAACAAGACCATAATTGTTACATTTCTTAAAACTTTAATATCAGGAAAAATAAATTTATACATTTTGGGGTTGATATTATTTTCATATTTTCTACCATGCTAATTACATTCTATTAGGATTTGTTTAACTAGTCACAAATTTTGGCACACAGTCTTTGTTCTATAAAAGATCTTCACTCGGATAGAGAAAATAACACTAATGATAAGGATGTTTAATAATAACAAACAGTATCAATAATAATATACACTTGTGGTTCTTTATATTTATTATTTAACTCAATGCTTACAACATCTCATGAAGTTATTATTATTAATCCTTCCTGATGAGAAGAAACAGATTTAACACAGGAGTCTTCCCTTATCTATGGTTTCACTTTCTGTAGTTTTAGTTACCATGGTCTACCTTGGTCCTGAAACAGAAGAGCAGCCTAAAAGCTATGCCACAGTGACCACGTCATTCACCTCACATCATCTCATCATGTAGGCATGTGATCATCTCACATCATCATAAAAAAAGTGAGTACAGTACAATAAGATATTTTGAGAGAGAGTGTACCACATGCATAAAACTTTTACCATTTTTATACTTGTTACATTTTATTATTGTTGTTATACAACTCTACCTAATTTATAAATTAAACTTTATCATAGGTATGTTTGCATAGGAAGAAATCATAGTATATAAACAATTAGGTACTATCCGTGGTTCTCACGCATCTACTGGGGATCTTGGAAGATATCCTTTATAGATAAGGGAGCACCATCATGCGTAAATAATTTGTTAATTTGTTGTTAAGTAGCTCTGTTAAGTAGCTCTACTGTTAAGTAGCAG